GCACACTGTTTTTTTTTTTTTTTTCACGTTTAACAACATAATTAACTCCATCCAAATAGATTCAAATTGATCGGAACTGAAAGAAACAGAAAATTTGGTTTGATCCAAAAATGAAACATTCGAAACAATCTGAATTTCGAATAACGAACCGAATCCGAAATCCCAGAAAAAACACAAATGTTTGGAGTCTCTACATGTCTGATTTACTTCTATAGTTCGCATAGGATTGGGGATGGAATCCGGCGTCACACTCTTGTAAGAAATGCATTTTAATAACAATGAGAAAGCAGACAATTATTGTACTTTATAATAAGAAACAAACGCTGGAACTAAGCTTCGAGTTTTGTCTTCACCACAATGAGCTAATACACATATTTTCATTACACTATCATTGATTTTTTTCCCTTCTGTATTTCCATGAGCTGTGCCATCTCTTTCTGCTTCCTCGGTGTTGGGAGGCGGGTGATTCAGCAGCTGACGGGTTACAGTGATGACGTCTCCATATCCTGGAATTGGACTGATAGGCAGCAGGAACTCCGAAAATATCAAGCAAGAGGAAAAGCCAGCTGTCAACAGGAAGCCAGCCACACACAGGGGGGTACCAGCCTGGACATATGTTCACATGACCTATCATTGTGGGCATTAGGAGGCCGCGTTCTCACATCTGCCCCTGACACATTATTCCATAAAAGTTGTATCTCCTGCATAATTAATGAGTTCATTCAGCAACGCAGTTCAGAAAACAATGGCCATTGTAAAGTAACGCAGAGCAACCAATCAGCAATCACCTCTTAGCTAAGCTGGCTCCAGATTGGTTTTTACGGTCAATGTACGGGAGCGAACTGGATTTTTTTTTTTTTGCACCAACAAAGTGGTTCCTGAGGTCCACTCCATGGACTCTTGTGTATGTTAAAGGAGTCCCCATTCACACATGTGCAATTTGTCTCAAGTCAGCCGTCACGTAACAATGCACGACAAGAGGTATCCCACTGCTTTCTATGGGGCCTGCTCACACCTATGTGTTGTGCTGCCTTGCAATTTGAAAAAAGGCGCAGGTGCTTCTTCTGGTGCTACATAGCTGCTTTTGTACTCCAGCCATAGACCAAACTTCAGCCCCCCAGCTGTGGTGAAACTACAAATCCCATCCTGCATCTGTGTCTTAAAGTTGTGCCTGTGGCTGTCAGAGTC